ATCAAAGATTTATATTAGAGGAAAGGAAGTCGAATTAAACTGTTACAAATATATTTACATCGTAATGCAAAAGGGGCGGAATAACTGTAATTCGTGCGTACGAGCACCCTCTGTGCGAAATATATTTAACTGTTAGAGTCACATACAGAAAGGCAAAAGGTCGAGAAGTGTTGGTGAGTATGACGGGTGTTAAAGGTAAATATGGCGACATTTTATTGATATCAGTATTAGGCATGAATTTATTTTTAAAAATTTTCTTTTACTGAGAGTAATTATAACGTTTTGCTCACTTTTGCCTAGTCTTAAAAATTCAAATTCTATTTGTTGCAAAAAAAAAAAAAAAAAGAAAAAAAAGGACAATTATTTGCTACAAAAGTGCGTGAAAAGTTACTATGAAACATCAAAACGCATTTGGAATGAAATGAATGAAGAAGTTGACCCTGACATTGGCACAAATGATAAAAAATAATAACGACAACGATAACACAATTTATTTCTTGGAGTAGGTCATAGAGGCTTGTAAATAAAATGTATATCCTTAGGTACTTGAATAACCAGGACAATATATTAAGAAACTCTTCAATATGATTTATAGATGAGGAAGAAACTGTATAGCAGACAAATACATCATCGAAGCGGAGCAGGGTTTAAGTACATGAATAGCTACATGTATCTATGCCGTGACCTATAGGCTGCGTATGTGCACTTGTGTTCCCATCCTGGGCTCTATTCCTGATTTATACATATATAGATGTACATAAGCAGCTCGGAAAAAAACGCACAATTTATTATTAACGTTCGAATTTTTGAAGAGGCAGAAGAATATAAAGACCAGTTAAGTGCAGGAAAAACAAACAAAAATATTTTAATGCATAAAAAATATGAAAGTTAATTGGATTATACTTAACAAAATGTAAATAATTAATATTAATTTGCTAAGTTAATATTTTATCAAATAACAGACCCATGCATTACGAGAATTTTTGTTATTGTTTCTTGTTTGTGTTTTGTATGTTGATTTGTTTTTTCTTTTTTGTTGTTTATTTTTCATTTCTTTTTATCTGTTTGCACACTTGTTAGTTTTATGGTTCTTTTTTTTGTGGGGGGGGGGGCGGGGGTTGCGGATGAAATGTAAAATGTTTATATTAACGCAAAATGCGATCAGAAACAAACTCAGCGCACTCAGTGTCTTCTGTATCCGCGATGGATCGCTAAAAATGCATCTCTTGTCCCAGTTGATGTATGTGATGTATTCTACTGATCAACCGTTGGTCATTGACATTTCAATAGGAACAAAACACCCCTCTTGTAATTCTGTAAAAAGACAATTACACTGTTAAAACTTTTATGCACTATCCTCACTTGACATTTTGAAAATCGATTTCAACGAATGCCAGGTCACTGTTTGTCTTTATATGAATAGGTTTACTCATAGAGTTAAGGGATGCGACGAACGACTAAAAACAGCCAAACGTATAATACAAGTAAAAATAAAACAAAATAGACAACCAGAATATAAGAAATAACATTAAGCTTTTCTCAATAACGCATCAGCTGACTGCGCCTAGGGTGTACTGAACTTTTTAGAGAGAGCATTCAAAAATGGCTTCATAGGCCTACAGTAATAAAGTATTTCTGAGGTATGTGACGGCAAACTACAACAAAAATATTTCAACTGATAGCATTTTATCTTTGTTTTTTACTTTGTATTACAGGCAAAACATGAAGATTTCGAAGCTATCACAGCCCTGCGCTGCTTGCCTCTGTACCATCTTAATACCGGTTCTTCTCACGAGCACGTACGCGTGGAACCTACCTCCAATCACAAATAATGGTAAGTTCCCGCGCATGCGCAGAAAACACGTTTCTTCATCATCATCATCATCAGCATCGCCATCAGCATCATCAAGCACGTCTACCTCTCCAAAATCTACCTCAAGCCTGCTCCAGCAGGTTCTTCCTCTCCAATTGAGGACAAGCAGTATTGGGAACAAGCTCCGCTTGCAACAGGGGGCGCGCAATAACAACCTCGAAGTGGGTTGGCCCCCGACGATTAGCGCTAAAAGAAGAAATAGAAGAAGAAGACGTCGGAGAAGACCTGCTAAATGGCATCGCGCGCGCAGACATCCACCTGAGGAAGCGACAGGTATCTATCATATTAGAACAACTCCGGTATCTTTATCTTAGAACAAATCTGTATCAGTGCATGGGTACACGGCATCATTCCGACGGCAGTTTACGATATCAAAACGATATGTTGACGTCATCATGACGTCAAGGTGACGTTGACATGGCGTCGTGTACCTCCTGGAGAGAGAGAGGGAGCAAGTTTTTGTGAAATTTAAAGCTACATGTACATACGATGCGAGAGTAGATTCCCTGTTACGCATACAACATTACGCATACAAAAAGGTTGTCCCACCCCCATTTCCATGTTCTTTTATTTACAAATGGGGGTAGGACAACCTTTTTGACCAATGTTGTATATAGCCAGTTTTTTTACAAGACTCAAGTAAAGTCGACATGCCAAAGGATAGACCAATTTGCTAATTAGGTCAAAAAGAAAAGCTTTAAAACTGCACTTTGTTCAAATTACTGTTCGGTTTGTAAATTCCCGCCACATAACGTACATGTAGTAATGCAAGACACATCACTGTGGCACGGGCAATAACACAATCATTCAAATGGGAGTTGGCGTAAATGACAGAGGGTCATATACGACAAAAAGAAAGCAGAAAATAACTGTATTATTACTTTTAATGGGAAAGTATGAGACCATATCCTTTGGGATCTCTTTGAAAGTTATGCTTCATGTATTTGAATCTACATGCATATAGTGGCAATTAGCCGGAGTTTGTTGCAATTATTTCACGTCAACTCGCTTTAACATTCTATTTGGACAGACCTTCAGATGCGGTCGTCTTAATGTACCACTTACAAAATTCCAATTCGCTTTCAGAAGTGTACACCGGAGGCAGTGGAACAGTATATCAGAGATACTTTGTGAATTTCTTCATTAATGTGTCACTAACGGAAGGTAATAACATGGTTATTTATTTATTTGTTTGTTTATTTATTTATTTATTTATGGCCTGAAACGTAGGTAAAGGTGTGACTTTAACGGTTTGTCTTTATGTTTGTCCGATGGCGTTGTATAGACCTCGTTTGTATGGGATTTTTTTTCTGTCAATACTATTTGTGGCCAATTTGCTGCCTTATTAAATTTTCATTAAAAAAACGAAATAATTTCAATGTTAAGGACAGGATCCCGAAAGATATTGTATTAATATATAATTGGGCTCCACATAAATGCGACTCATGGTACAGAATCAACCTGTAAAAAGTGGTACACACAATTATTCTGTGTGATAATACATACACCCTTATGAGAATCTTTGACTATATTTGATACATATTGGGTGTATTTTTAAGTTCAAATGACTTGATCTTTTTCATTTATAGTCTATCCTCTATTTTCTAGTTTACGAGATATTGGCCAGTGTGACCGTCAAAGATGTCCGTGACTTCGGAAGATTTGGCTACTCTGCTGTTGTGGAGGCAAGTGAGAGGTATGGCAAAATTTGGTTGACATACAATACAAAGACTACTATTAATTGCAACAGGTGTATACCATAGAAATGGTGTTTACATTCTGTACTGAAAGTGGACCACATCAAGCTGCATGATTAAACACACACACACACACACACACACACACACACACACACGACTAAACAAAAGCGCTAATTATTCTTTTTCATGCATGTACGTTTTAAATCCCCACACCAAAAATGTGAAGGAAAGTAAAAAAAATAAACAGATAAAAGTGAAAAGATTGATCATAAAAACAATTACCAAAGAATAAATATTGGCCCTATAATATGATATCTGCCTACATTATTATTTCTCTTATATATGGAGATGCTTACCATGGATCTACAGGTGATATAGCTTAATTTCTTTAAAAACGTCCAGAAAAATACAATATTTATAAATTATATACAGTATATTCACTTTCTCCCCCTTTGTGTTCCAGTGAAGTGGATAACATACGTGTCAGTAACTCTCACTCTGTTAACTTCACCGAACAAGACGCATACGCCGGGGCCAATTGTGAGACACACGTGGCTTCCTCTAGTTATCGCTGGGTAGGTAAAAAAAATTAAATAATATTAAATTTGTCTAAGGTAAAGCAGTATTTTTTCTTCAATCAGCAGCTAGTTATTTAACTCCATTATTTCGATGTCCATTAAAAGCGTCGTCATCAGAGCCGATGAAATCCTTTTCTGATTTAAATTTATGTATCATAAATAGTTTTTTATCACATTCTTGATTTTATGTATAACATTTCCTACCAAATCGACGTCATTGTGTTTATGTTGATTGTGGAGGTATTTGAAACAGTGAGCAACTCACAATGATTATTTTAAAATATTTTTGTCGGACTTACAAAATTATTTCAAGACTTAACGGTCATTACATAATTTACATTAGTTAATATTAGACTGGGTCATCAGATAACATGAGATAAGAGTAGATGGGTCAAATAAACAAAAACCTAACGGAGAAGTTAATTAATTTTGGCTTTATCTCCCTCACAGGGCTTGGATCGTATAGACCATCCGGACATTGTAACGGCGGACGATGAGACTTTGAGCATAAATAACAATGGGACAGGCGTGGATGTCTACGTGCTGGATACAGGTACTCTAATATGCACACGCGCACGTGCACACACGCTCAAGCGCGCACACACACTCACACACAACCACATGTTTTGGCTTATCACAGTGTCTTATATTTAACCATTTTTACGAATAATTGAACTATATATAAAAGTCGAAATCAATTGGGAGAGATTGATAAATGCATACACAAGCATGCTAGCAAATACACCTAGGAGTTTCATTGTATATTTGACTTTAAAGTTAAAAAATTAATAACTTTTAAAACATGACAAAATTCATTTGGTGAATGCTATTAAACAAACACACACACACACACACACACACACACACACACACACACGCTTTCATCCACCACAGCAATAGGCTCAAATATATTATCAGCATCATATTCGAAAACTGAAGTTATTTCCTAATCAACAGGCATTGCTAAAAACCACATGGACTTTGACGATGGGTCCGGTGTTAACCGTGTCATCTCGCTCTGCTACGATGCCTGGGAGTCCGTTGCCAACTGTGGTGGGGTCAACGACAGCGCCGACGACCACGGTCACGGGACGCACATCGCAGGTCTCGTGGGGTCCCTCACCTGGGGGGTCGCCAAACGTGTCACACTGATTTCGGTAAGCGTTTTAAATTTGTGAATTGCCTAGTTGAATAAAATTCGTAAACTGTTGGCAAAGGCCGGATACTGAGTTGCGTCACACCGCAGACAGTGGTGGGCCTAACTGGTTTGTTTTACTCTATAAAATACGTATTAGGGCTCATTCACTTTGAAACTATAGGTGTACGTAGGTCGAGCCAACTCTGGTTGAATACAATCAGTTTAGCAGATTAACCCGCCCCCTGGTGTTGAGTAGAATACAGAGAAGGTGTGGAATATACGATTATGTTGGAAACAGGAGGATGCATGTCAATTTGTTTATCTGATTGCATTCAGCGAGCGTCCCCGCGGAGTTGGGTCGATCTATGTACACCGATGTTTTCAATGGAAATGTGCCCTGGGTCCGTCTGGATAATATAAATATGGCATAGTGTTTTTCCTGATATTTGAATGACGTCGTGTGGTGTAGTCAGCGGTGAGGGTCGCAGGGGGCGAGTATCTTCACCGGTTTGGTGTTGTTTACCCGATTAGCAGGGTCAGAGAAGAGCTGTAGCGAGAGAGAGCGATTTTTCCCCGACTTCCTGAAATGTGAACTAGATTTAAGACACACTTATAGTCAGTAGACCTGGTAAGATTTAATGGGATATCAGTAAGGGTGTACATGTAAGAGTTAATGGTAGTGACAGAGTGAGACTGGTAGAGACACACATTGATCAGATACCGGTACATGTTTGCACGGTACTATCTTGTATAAGGATATTATTAAGTATGTAACACTCAGTTAAGTGGGTGAGGATTATTTTATTCATATAATTCATTGTTCAAGGTGTTATTAATATCAGAAAGGCAATGACCTCGATCTCATCACCCATGTGTTATCAGCAATGTGATATCCCATATAGTTTTAAATATAGTTTGTTTCCCTTTCGACGTTATCGCTATCAATGGAGTAAACTGAACTTTTGAGGTCGTATACAAGTGTCTTTTAGTGCTCCTGTATTCATTACCTATATATATATATATATAAAATCGTATACTTTCTAATGACGGTTGGTGAATAAAATTTGCGGTCATTTTCAACTGTACCAGAGCTACTGGTGTCGGTAAGAGTCAGGTTTAGAATTATAAAACAACCCAAAGTACCGGTGCGCAACAATCTAGCACCTAAATGGGATTTTAGTTTCAAGAACAGAATAGTAAATGGTCGCTTCCAATCCTAAAGTAATATTGTTTATTCACAGGTGAAGGTGCTGGACTAGCACCTAAATGGGATTTTAGTTTCAAGAACAGAATAGTAAATGGTCGCTTCCAATCCTAAAGTAATATTGTTTATTCACAGGTGAAGGTGCTGGACAGTAACAATACCGGAACCGTCAATGACGTTATCGGCGGCATCGACTGGGTCAAACAACAATATGCCGCCAGGGGGCGCCCTGCTGTGGCCATCATGGCGCTGAACACGGGGATCCAAGTCACGCTGAATAACGCGGTAACCAGCATGTATGACGAGGGGATTGTGCCCGTGGTAGCGGCGGGCAATAATGGAGGTGACGCGTGTTTTTATTCACCAGCCAGCACCCCGGAGGCCATTGTAGTAGGTGAGAAAAGCACAATGCTGTGTAATTTAAGGCATTTTAAAAGTTACATCTGAAAACTGTTTGTGGCCATTGTATTACATATAATGCCAAATTGTTAAATTGACGAAGTATTATATTATATTATATTATATTATATTATATTATATTATATTATATTTCAGGTGCACTGACTTCAACAGACACCCTGACAAGTTTTACCAATGGGGGCAACTGTACAGGCATATACGCCCCAGGGGAGGCGATCGGTAGCTCCTATTACCGGAGTCCAGATCTCGCCCAATTTTTAGTCATGCAAGGGTCCTCCCAGGCCGCCGCCTTCGTCGCCGGAACTGTGGCCGTATTAATCGCTGATAACGTCGGCCAAAACGAGACTGGAGGCGACTTCGTCGAGGCTATCAAGACCGCCCTCTATGATTTGTCTGCGCTTGGAAAAATAACAGGATACGTTCCACACAATCGTCTGCTTCAAGTACCACGTGACACGTGTTAGGTTGCCATGGTGATGTAGTTCAAGGCGTCTTGGCAACATTACGCAAATGAAATAAACTTGAAAACTGTTTGTTGTCTTCTGTTTTTGAACAAACGGTACAAACGATTGTTCAAGAGGCAGCTGGTTCTACCTTCAGCTGATATTTTACAGTGCTGTCTAATCATGAACAACTTGTATACACGTGACCTCATGTAATACATGTTACTATAACAAATAGTATGTGAAATATTATATTGTCTATGACAACTTTCAATCCTGTCTTCATTTCTTCCTGCCTTCTTTTTTGTCTTCCTTTCCTTCTTCCTTCCTCCCTTCTTCTTCTCCACCTTCCCTCTTTTCTTTCTCCCTTCCTCCGTCACTCCTTTCCATTCCGCTTACCATCTTCCATCCCTCCCTTTCTTACCCCCTCTCTACATTCCTTCCCTTCCCCTTCTTTCTATTCTTCATTCCTCCTCTCATTTCTTCCTTCCTCCCTCTCCATTCTTTCCCTTCCTCTTTTCTTCCTTTTCCTTTCCATCTTTCCATCCACTCCTCCTTCTCACTTTTACATTAGGTTTTAGTAGGATATCCTTTCTATTTTATTACCTATTTTTACGTCTGTTGACATCTTTCTTTCTCTTACCTCCCGTTCCAACAGGATGCCGTCGTGCATTTGACAACCTCTACGTTAACTCAGGAGATGTATTAACACGTATGCACAAAAGTATTTATTTACTGTGTTTTTCGTTATTTATAGAACTGTAGGTCAATACTAACTTTACAGAGATGACGAGAGAAGCTTGTTTTGTTGGTGACGGTAGTTTTGTTAAGATGGGGTATTATAATTACTAATTAACTCAACTTTTGTGACCACAGTGACGATGAATTATAATTAAGCATGAATAAACTAGAAATGTGTGTTTTATTTTTGTACATAATATGTTTGGATATACGCTGGCTAAAAACGCCAAGGTCATATTTTGATGGTACATACACGTATGCTATATGCACCACGATGGCCAGCTGGTGACATATATCGAATAGTGTTTGTATTTTTTAATAAAATAACTGTGTGAAGAGTTAATAACATCTACCTACATTTCTGAATTTTTGAAATGCTGTGTTGATCGGGCAGAGTAATAAAAAGACAAAGAAACGAAGTCAGGTCTAAGATTTTGAGGAGGGCATTTTGTTTCTTGAAATTTATCCACTGCACATGTTCATGTAATGCACTAGGATAAAACATATTTCTCATTTCTAATATCATTAAGTATAAAAGGTAAATGTACGTATTGTATAACATAATGTAGCATATCTTAAACGTAAGTTTTCATATTTTCAACATTTTCGTACATATTTTCCCCACAAAACAAGATGGCTTGCTCGCACTCTCTGAACCCAAGAATTTTATTCAAGTTGTAGATGGGGTATGTGTCTGTCTGATGGCCATTTAATTTATCATCAAAAATGTTTCTTACCCATTCCTGAT